CTCAGGAGGCTGAGGCAGGAGAATTGCCTGAGCCCAGGAGGCGGAGGTTGCGGTGAGCCGAGATCGCGCCATTGCACTCCAGCCTGGGTAACAAGAGCGAAACTCCATCTCAAAAAAAAAAAAAAAAAAAGAATGATGTTTATTCAATTGAATAAATCCTTTTTTTTTTTTTTAAGACAAGGTCTCATTCTGTTGCCAAGGCTGGGGTGCAGTGGCATGATCATGGCTCACTGTACCCTTAAACTCCTAGGCTCAAGCCGTCCTCTCTCCTCAGCCTCTTGAGTAACTAGGACTACAGTCATGTATCACCCACGCCTGGCTAATTTTTAAATTTTTTTGTAGAGATGGGGTCTTGCTATGTTGGCCTACCTGGTCTCAAACTCCTGGCCTCAAGCAGTCCTCCTACCTTGTCCTCCCAAAATGCTGGGATTACAGGCGTGAGCCACTGCACTCAGCCAAATAAATCATTTTTAATGCAGGATTTTAATTTTCAGTTCTTAGTTTTAGATTAAAAAAAGATAATATTATCAGAATTTATCTTAACAAAATTAAAATATTAAAGTCAGAGCCATATCATTAATTATTATAAATAAAATAACTCTTTGATCACATGTTGGTGATTTCCTATTTCTCAAGATTTCTAACTTCATTTTTCCCCTTCCTAAAAGTCTTTCTTTTCCTTTTTTTTTTTTTTAGTGAGAAATGAAAGAAGATAGGAGGTTCTGATATTTCTAAGCACTTAACTCATAATTGTGTTTTTCTTCTACATTTATTCTCTTTTACCATCCAATATTGTTAAAAAGAAGTTTATTTAAACTTTGCTAGACCTGGCTATACTGGGGAGGAGGGGAAGGGGGATCATGAGAAGAGAGCAATTTCTCTTCGTTACTATGATAAAATTATGTATATCATAATTTTGCTAGTTCTGTGAAATAACCCTTAAATATGTCATACAGTACTGATTCATTTTGGAGCTAAGGTCAGAAAAAGTGTGTGGGGGAGAGGTTAAATTTGATTGATTAATATCTGCCTGTTGAAGCCAGCTTGTTCCAGCATGATTTAATATGCTCAAAGGTATAAAATGGCAAATAAATTTTATTGGTTGGTTGTTACCCAGCTTCTTAAAGTGTTTTATCATTTGTCAACAGTTAGCAAATTTTAAACAAAGATTTCTTTGCTAACATTCATTGTGTTCTAAGTACCAAGAAATAGTCCAAAAACTTTACATGTGTTACCTGTTTCAGCCCTCGCAACCCTGTTAAGTAAGTAGTATCCTATTTTTTTTTTTTTTTTTTTTTTTTTTTGAGACGGAGTTTTGCTCTTGTTACCCAGGCTGGAGTGCAATGGCGCGATCTCGGCTCACCGCAACCTCCTCCTCCTGGGTTCAGGCAATTCTCCTGCCTCAGCCTCCTGAGTAGCTCGGATTACAGGCACGCGCCACCATGCCCAGCTAATTTTTTTGTATTTTTAGTAGAGATGGGGTTTCACCATGTTGACCAGGATGGTCTCGATCTCTCGACCTCGTGATCCACCCGCCTCGGCCTCCCAAAGTGCTGGGATTACAGGCTTGAGCCACCGCGCCCGGCAGTAGTATCCTATTAATATTACTAGCACCATTTATAGATGACAGGGCTGAAGCACAGATAGACTAAACCATTTGTCTAAAGCCACACAGCTAGTAAGTGGCAGTGCTGGATTTGAACGAGTCTATTTCAAAGCCCAAACTCTTGGTCTTTTTTTATAATCCATCTACTACCAGAACAGCTTGTTCTGTTTTATTATATAATGTTCATAGCTGAGATGAGCTCTTTAATTTTTGAAATTCACTCATACTAAATTAAGAAAAATACTTTGAATTAGATAGAAATGTTCTAAAGTAATCCCAGTATCAGAACTTAAATAACATCAGGCAACTAGGATTTTCATTCAAAGGCACTGATGAGCTCATTTTTGCTTCTCTGGTATCCTTGTGCCTTTACATGTCTTGGCAGCTCTTCTCAAGAGACTCATTCGGTAAAACATCTTGCAATTACTGTGTGATTTTAAGAATGGATTGAAATAGGTTACCAGTTTCCTACGGTATTAATAATTCATTTTGGAAAATAACTTTCCCTCTTCGGCACCTGTTTCCTATCTTCTCTTCTAGTCCACATGCTGTAGATTGATGACTAATGGGTGGCCGAACAACGAGATACCAGGAAATGAAATTGTAGAGGCCCAGGCTACCGAGATAACAAGATGCTCCACTGGGCCTACCAGGAAAATGCTCTTTTGCTTTTCATGAAAATAATGTACTTATTCAGCCTAAGTTTTAACTTAACCTAGAGGTATTTTACCAGAGGTCTGGTGTATTTATTTCTTGATGTGAGAAGTTTCTTCATAAACTTGTATGTAATAATAGCAGGAATCAAAAAATAAGGTATTTGGGAAAATAATCTTCTTTAATATTCATTCATTATGGTTTACAGAGTATATTGCTCAAAGAATACAACAAAAGGCCGGGCACGGTGGCTCATGCCTATAATCCCAGCACTTTGGGAGGTCAAGGTGGGCAGATCACCTGAGGTCAGGAGATCGAGACCATCTTGGCCGACATGGTGAAACCCCGTCTCTTCTAAAAATACATAACTTAGCTGGGCATGGTGGCACATGCCTGTAATTCCAGCTACTTGGGAGGTTGAGGCTGGAATCACTTGAACCAGGGAGTGGAGGTTCCAGTGAGCTGAGATTGCACCACTGCACTCCAGCCTGGTGACAGAGCAAGATTCCATCTCAATAATAATAATAATAATAATAATAGTAATGATGCAATAAAAATGCTTTAACCCTGGCCAGGTGCGGTGGCTCACACCTGTAATCCCAGCACTTTGGGAGGCCGAGGCAGGTGGATCACAAGGTCAAGAGATCGAGACCATCCTGGTCAACATGGTGAAACCCCGTCTCTACTAAAAATACAAAAAAATCAGCTGGGCATGGTGGTGCGTGCCTGTTATCCCAGCTACTTAGGAGGCTGAGGCAGGAGAATTGCCTGAACCCAAGAGGCGGAGGTTGCGGTGAGCCGAGATCGCGCCATTGCACTCCAGCCTGGGTAACAAGAGTGAAACTGTTTCAAAAAAAAAAAAAATGCTTTAACCCTTCAAAAGTATTATTTATGTATATGCTGGTAAGAGAAGCAATTGTAGCTTTATTAAAGTTTTCTGATTTGTTTAATTGCTCTAGGTTATATACTACAGCATACTTGGACAATAATTGAATTTTCAGAGAATTATTTTCTATTTATTTGATTGCACAGTATCAATGCTTCACAGTGCACTGACTGTAAAGCCATTTGGTAGTTCAGGCAAAACAACATAGGTAAACACCAGTCATTCTGTTAGATAACCCTAAGTTTAGGGATTGAGTGCTACTAGTTTATTTTTAACTTGTTATTGGCTTGTGTTGTCAGCATGAATAATCCTCTCCATTCCAATTAATTAACATAATAAATTAGGATACAAATATCACTAGGTTTATGTACAAACACATAAACATATACAACTACTCCTATTTTGTAGTTTAACTAAATTGTCTTCATAACCTTTGTGCACTCATTTAAAAGAACTCCCAATTTCTACATCTCAATTTTTACATTACAGACTGCATATATTCACATTTTGAAATCTTATTGAAAATGGTCTAACAGTTATTTGGTTGTTCTGTATAATATAAATATTTATTTATTTATTTTAGAGTTGGGGTTTCACCATAATGGCCAGACTGGTCTTGAGCTCCTGACCTCAGGTCATCTCCACTGGCCTCCCAAAGTGCTGGGATTACAGGCGTGAGCCACCGTGCCTGGCCAAATATAATTTTTTAATGTATAGTTTTTGTGTTTCCTACCAATATTAGGATTGGCATTTAGATGGTTCTTTTAAAGTTTTAATAAAGGAATAAACTTTTTTTTTCAAAATTACATTTATTTTATTTATTTATTTTTTTTGAGACGGAGTTTCGCTCTTGTTACCCAGGCTGGAGTGCAATGGCACAATCTCGGCTCACCACAACCTCCGCTTCCTGGATTCAAGCAATTCTCCTGCCTCAGCCTCCTGAGTAGCTGGGATTACAGGCATGTGCCACCATGCCCAGCTAATTTTTTGTATTTTTAGTAGAGACGGGGTTTCACCGTGTTGACCAGGTTGGTCTCGATCTCTCGACCTCGTGATCCACCCGCCTCAGCCTCCCAAAGTGCTGGGATTACAGGCTTGAGCCACCGCGCCCGGCTACCTTTATTTATTTAAAGCTAAGGCATAAATTTTAAAAATTTCCTAAGGCTAAATTATATCTAGAATAATAAAATCTTACTTTTTTGTAGGAGAAGACAGACAGCTGCTTTGGACCTATTGGTAATGATGGCCTGAGCTAAACATCTAACTAGAAGGGATACCCTTCCATTTCAAAGAACAGAATGCTAAGGAAGCTGTGGCAAGTATGTGTTTCATTGTTTTGGTATGGTAAAACTCAGATACGGAATGTACTCACTTTAGATCCCATGATACTATATTTGGCTAAAGTTTTTAAAAGCTTTCCTTAAAAAGCAGCAATCATATGCTTAACACTTTTTTTAAATGTACTTTCAAATTTTAAGAGCTCTAACTATAGGACTGCTTTAATTTCAAAGGAGACAGTATCACACTTCGTAATAACTCTTATATGGTATATTTATAATTGATTTTAAAATTAGTATTTGATGAAACCTGCTGTGTGTCAGGCACTATACCCGGTGCTATGATACCAGAGGTAAACAAGACTAATGCACCTATGGGAAAATTGATTTAGAAATTTTGCTATGTTTTTGCCTGTATCCAGAAAAATGCTTCAAAACATACAAGAACAAATCCTGAAACTATGTTTTCAATATGCAGGCTACTAATAATAGTTAATTATAAGAGTTAGGATATTAATTAACAATTAAATACTCTTACTTATATTAACCATACCAAAACTTAAATATTTGAATATAGATCCTTTTGTAGTTCATAAATGTGATGATTAGGTTTTCATGCTCATGTGTGAAATGTGCCTTTCTCAAACCTTGTTATGACACTGGCACATTACCTATCTGATGTAAAAAAATGTAATAAATATTTGAATATATTTGTCTATAATTGCTTTTATATTTTATCTGATTAATTAATTGGCTTTTGTAAGAAGCGTTTATCCAATTGTTACTTTAGATGATTCCAGAAAATACTAGGAAAGATTTAATAAACATTAATGTGCTGGTTCACTTTCATTTTTAAAAAATTGATAAGAGTTCTTGTAAGTTGATATTACCAATGCTGATTGCTATTATCTTTCAAAGTATTTTGGAAAATCAAATCATTATATCCTCAGTGAAGTAGGTAACAGTTACCTTACGTTTATAAATAGGGAAGATAATGACCAGATGAACAGTTTTTCAGTCTTCAAAGATAATCTCACTTGGAACTGAGAATTGCATTCTTGTGTTAGACTGGCTGTAAAAGACTTAACACACCTTCTTGAGAAAAGTAGGGAAAAACTATTTTCAGCAGAAAATTGCTTTTGTATCACATTTACAAACTATTCACAAGAGATTTCATGATAGTGCTAGTTTATTTTATTTATTTGTTTATTTATTTATTTACTTATTTATTTTTTGAGACAGAGTCTCACTCTGTCACCCAAGCTGGAGTACAGTGGCACAATCTCGGCTCACTGCAACTTCTGCCTCCAGGGTTCAAGCAATTCTCCTGCCTCAGCCTCCCGAGTAGCTGGGACAGTATGCACATACAACTACACCCGGCTAATATTTGTATTTTGAGTAGAGACGGGGTTTCCCCATGTTGGCCAGGCTGGTCTTGAACTCCTGACTTCGTGATCCACCTCCCTCCGACTCCCAAAGTGTTGGAATTATAGGTGTGAGCCACTGTACCCGGCTCATAGTGCTAGTTTACATATCAGTTTCAAAGTATTATGTACCTACCTACCTAGCTGCCAGCTGCAGGGAGAAATCTAGGATGTTAGTGTCTTGGGGAGAGACCTATCTAAAAGAAACTTCACAAGGCCGGGCGCGGTGGCTGAAGCCTGTAATCCCAGCACTTTGGGAGGCCGAGGCGGGTGGATCACGAGGTCAAGAGATCGAGACCATCCTGGTCAACATGGTGAAACCCCGTCTCTACTAAAAATACAAAAAATTAGCTGGGCATGGTGGCGCGTGCCTGTAATCCGAGCTACTCAGGAGGCTGAGGCAGGAGAATTGCCTGAACCCAGGAGGCGGAGGTTGTGGTGAGCCGAGATCGCGCCATTGCACTCCAGCCTGGGTAACAAGAACGAAACTCCATCTCAAAAAAAAAAAAAAAAAGAAAAAAAAAAAAAACTTCACTCCTCAAATCTGCGGTCAGAGCTTGCCAGAAGAAATCTGTCTAGCTTGGATTCTTCTTTAATCTTTAGTGTCATTAAGGTCTGCTTTCTCAGATGGAAAAAAACAGGTAGAGAGGATAGGGTTTCTTATCTTTCAGCCTTAATTAGCATTAGCAAAGGTATCCTCTGAAATTTGATTATCTTTGACCACAGTGTCTTAGATGCTTTCACTTTTATCCTTTTCATTCCTGTCTGTATATTCACTTTAATATCTGATTTTCAATTGTCTTGAGACTATTTTTCAGACAGTTTGCTTGAGATTTCTCTCTCAGGTAATGATTCTTAAGTTACCAGCAATCTTTAATAACATTTGCTGTGGACATAAATTTGTGTTGTCCAATTCCTAATTTAATTTTTTAAGAACTTGATGTTTCTAAATATTTTAACATTTAATTTTTATTTTTAGATTTTTTTTTTTTTTTTTTTTTGAGGCTGAGTTTCACTCTTGTTACCCAGGCTGGAGTGCAATGGCACGATCTCGGCTCACCGCAACCTCCGCCTCCTGGGTTCAGGCAACTCTCCTGCCTCAGCCTCCTGAGTAGCTGGGATTACAGGCACACGCCACCATGCTCAGCTAATTTTTTGTATTTTTAGTAGAGACGGGGTTTCACCATGTTGACCAGGATGGTCTCGATCTTGTGATCCACCCACCTCGGCCTCCCAAAGTGCTGGGATTACAGGCTTGAGCCACCGCGCCCGGCCTATTTTTAGATTTTAACTTTGAAAATATCTTAATTGTGTAAGTCACCTTCTCCTCGCTCTGTTGCCCAGGCTGGAGTGCAGTGGGGCACTCTCGGCTCTCCACAACCTCTGCCTCTCAGGTTCAGGCAATTTTCCTGCCTCAGCCTCTCAAGTAGCTGGGATTACAGGTGTACACCACCACACCTGGCTAATTTTTGTATTTTTAGTAGCGATAGGGTTTTACCATGTTGGTCAGGCTGGTCTTGAACCCCTGACCTCGTGATCCACCCTCCTCAGCCTCCCAAAGTGCTGGAATTACAGGCATGAGCCACCGCACCTGGCTGTAGATACCTCTTGTTTTAATCTGACCTCATTGTTTGTACTGCTTAGGCATTCGGTGATTTTTGTGGGTTTGTAACTTTCAGTTTAATATAAACATGTAAATTTAAGTGTTTTCAGCTGGCTAAACAGAACTCTTGACTCAGAGAGAGAGAAGTGAAACTAAATAGAATACAGAATCCTAAACTTTCTCAGTATATATATATATATATATATATATATATATATATGCAGATTCTAAGGGATTCTCTGTGTGTATATTTTTGCTACCTAAGAACAGTTTTATTTAGTTGATGCTACATCAAAATTAACATGATCCCTAAAAACTATAGTATCTTCTAAATTTTTTTTTTTTTGAGACGGAGTTTTGCTCTTGTCGCCCTGGCTGGAGTGCAATGGCACCATCTTGGCTCACTGCAACCTCTTCCTTCAGTGTTTAAGTGATTCTCCTGCCTCAACCTCCTGATTAGCTGAGATTATAGGCGCCCACCACCACACTTAGCTAAGTTTTGTATTTTTAGTAGAGACAGGGTTTCACCATGTTGGCCAGGCTGATCTCGAACTCCTGACCTCAGGTGATCAACCCTCCTCAGCCTCCCGAAGTGCTGGGATTACAAGTGTGAGCCAACACACTTGGCTCTGAATGTTGTTATTTGATCCAGAATTGGTGTAAAAAACAAAGTTTGTGGCTGGGCACAAACACTTTGGGAGGCTGAGGCAGGTGGATGATGAGGTCAGGAGTTCAAGACCAGCCTGGCCAAGATGGTGAAACCCTGTCTCTACTAAAAAACCACAAAAATTAGCTGGACATGGTGGTGCGCACCTGTAATCCCAACTACTCGGAAGGCTGAGGCAGAGAATTGCTTGAACCCAGGAGGCAGAGGTAGAGAATTGCTTGAACCTGGGAGGCGGAGGTTGCAATGAGCCAAGGTTGCGCCACTGCACTCCAGCCTGGATGACAGAGTGAGACTCCATCTTAAAAAAAAAACAACAAAAACCCAAAGTTTGTTTTTCTTCACATAAAATCTTACCAAATAACATACTTTTGTGGCTAACTAGGCCAACATACTGTTATCTGTTAATCATTTAATTTGAAGTCCAAGACAGCCAAAAAAAAAAAAAAAACAAAAAAAACCAGAAGCTTGCAAATTCCTAGCAGTTATGACTCTGCTAAATTATAAAATATTTTTTTGACTTTTTTAAAGTAGTAGTAAGCATAGAATTTGAAACAATCCGTTAACTTCTTATAGTGCATTACATTGAGGACTTATTTTTAGTCTTTTTAAAAATGTAGTAGATGGCCGGGCGCAGTGGCTCAAGCCTGTAACCACAGCACTTTGGGAGGCCGAGGTGGGTGGATCACGAGGTCAAGAGATCGAGACCATCCTGGTCAACATGGTGAAACCCCGTCTCTACTAAAAATACAAAAAATTAGCTGGGCATGGTGGTGCGTGCTTGTAATCCCAGCTACCCAGGAGGCTGAGGCGGGAGAATTGCCTGAACCCAGGAGGCGGAGGTTGCGGTGAGCCGAGATCGTGCCATTGCACTCTAGCCTGGGTAACAAGAGCGAAACTCCGTCTCAAAAAAAAAAAAAAAATGTAGTAGAACATTATAGTTTTCTTATAAAACAAAGAAGTAATGATTCTAAGTGCAAATTTGCATTTGCTGTATTTATAATAACTATATCCTTTTCTCCTGAATTTCCCTGCTCAAATCATTCTTTGCTTTATCTCCCTTGTTTGACTTTTTTTTTTTTTTTTTTTTTTAAGACAGAGTCTTGCTCTGTTGCCCAGACTGGAGTGCGGTGGTGCCATCTTGACTTACTGCAGCCTCTGCCTCCTGGGTTCAAGCGATTCTCCTGCCTCAGCCTCCTAGCTGGGACTACAGGTGTGCACCACCATGCCCAGCTAATTTTTGTATTTTTAGTAGAGATGGGGTTTCGTCATGTTGGCCAGGTGGTTTCAATTGATCTGCCCACCTCAGCCTTCCAAAGTGTTGGGATTACAGGTGTGAGTCGCCACGTCCAGCCTAAAGATATTTTTTTAGCAAACATTATTGGGGTCCTAATAAGTATTTTGTTGTACCCTGAGAATATAGTGGATACTAAATAGATGTTTTTTCTGATCATAAAAGAAGAACTTGCATAAGAACTCTCAAACTTTTTAGATTGTGATAAAACATGCTTTGCTTTCATTAAATGCTTTTCTGTAGAGAAGTTTCAATTATAAAATTGTAAAAATTGTAATTGTTTTGATGAGTTCAGAATCATAAGTTGACTGAATAGTATCCTACCCTCAGGAGAAGATCCAGTATACAGATAGATCCAAGGAAACTGGCTAGTCTAGATCTACACCCTGGAGATTGTGTGTGGGTGGTCTTAAGGGCCCTTAGGACCAGCCTGACTTCTCAGAGCTCCAAAAACTATACCTGAATGCTACATGCTAAGGGATTCCTGCAGCCCTGGAAAGTCCTTTTTTTTTTTTTTTTTTTTTTTTTTTTTACTTTGTTATTTCTTTCCTCCCTCCCTTTCTCCCTCCTTGCTCCCCTTCTTGTCTTCTCTCTCTTTCTTCCTTCTTCCCTATTTTCCTCTCTTCCTTCCTCCCTCCCTCCCTTCCTTCCTTTTCTTTTTTTTAAAAACAAATTTGCATGTCATCCTTGCCCAGG